TCCCTCGATGGGCCATCAAGTGCTGATGCCACTCTGTCTGGGGCTGTCACCCAGAAACACAGCACAAGATTGGAAATACAGATATATCATACGTAAGGCTAAGATTTGGTCACAGGTATTTTGGGTAAAAGTCATGGACTGGCAATAAATAAAAATTCACAGCCTGTGACCTGTCCATGACTTTTACCAAAAATACCCCTGACTAAAACTCTACTTCTGTGGCCACGCTGCTCTGGGGGGGCCCTGCTGGAGGGGGGCCCTGCCCGGCTGCTGCTCCCAGATACTACTGTCTGGACGGCCTCCAGCCGCCCCAGGACCGCTGCTCAGGTGCTCCCCGGGCCACCCGAGCAGCAGCCAGTGTGGCTGGCCCTGGGGTCCTTACCGCTGCTACTGACTACAGCCTCTAGGCAAAGCAGCCACTGACTTCTGCCATTGGGCAACATGGCAGCGGACTCTCACCACTGGGTGACACGGCCATTGGCTACAGTTGCTAGGCTAAGTGGCCACTGACTCTCGCCACTGGGTGACAAAACCAGTGACCCCAATTGCTAGGTAAAGTAGCCACTGACTCTTGCGATTGGGTGATTACAGCCACTGACTCCAGCCAATAGGCGAAGAGACCATTGACTCTCACCACTAAGCGACACAAGCCGGAGTATCACCAGGAGGTGGTACTGCTGGCCTTGGACTCAACCTCCCTTTTGACAGCCCCATTACAATGATCTGTCATCTGTGAAGGGCACGTCTACACTTACAGCACTGCAGCGGCTGCAGAGTGTGTGGTCAAGATGGTCTATGCCAATGGGAGGCTGTTCCTGTTTGCTTCATGAGAGCTCCAGTGATAGCCCCAGAACTCTTGAAGTTCTTCTCATGTGTGGGATTTCCTTGCAAAATACTAACAGATCTAAGGGACTAACTTCAGCTCCCTGCTGATGTGTGGATTATGCTCCCTTCTGAAGATCAAGTCCCTGATAACCTCAGTGTCCCAGCTGCAGACCGATGGCCTAGTAGAGAGGTTTAATAAGACTCTGAAGGGAATGTTGAGTTGCTTTGTTAGTGACAACCCCAGTGGGACCAGCTACTCCCACCACTCCTGTTTGCCATAAAGGAGGTCCCACAAGCCTCTACAGGGTTCTTTATGTTTGAGTTGCTTTATGGTCGCTAACCGTGGGGAATCCTGAATGTGCCGCAAGAAGGTTGGGAGGAACAGGATGCAGATGCCTTAAGCACAACCCGATACATCTGACAGTGAGGGAACAACTCAGAAACATAGGGGTGTGCACCACAGAGAAGTTGAGAGAGGCCCAACATGCATAGGAACAAAATTATAATAGAGAGGCATGACTACCAACTTCCCACCCGGCTGACTGTGTCCTTCTGCTAATACCCTCAGCTAAGTTTAAGTTAATGTCCTGATGGTGGGGTCCATTTGAAGTGGTCAGGCAGGTATGGCTAGTGGACTATGAGATAAAACTACCTGGGAAGAGAAAAGAAATCAAGGTCTATCACAAGAATCTTCTCAAACCTTGGAAGACATGGGAGGCCCTGCTGAAAACTCATTCTCCTGCAGAACCTGAATTAGGGCCCCTGTATCCAGCAGTCAAGAACCGGCCAAGAGTAGACAAGTTACTAGAGTGGCTTGGACTGGCAAAGCATGTGAGCACTATCGACCTGACAAAAGGTTATGGGCGGGTCCCTTTATCTCCCTCCTCACAAGAGAAAACCGCTTTCTCCACCCCTTTTGGGCACTTTCAGTTCAAGACTCTGCCTTTCGGCCTCCACGGAGCTGCCGTGACTTTCTAAAGGCTTACGAATAGGATCTTCAGTCCCCACCATCCATACACTGCTGCCTACATAGACAGTATTGTTGTCTGTAGTCCTACCTGGGAAGACCACCTGCAGCACTTAAAGGCAGTAATAAAAGCCCCCCAGGACAAGGGATTTACAGCGGCCAACCCTGCAAAATGTAATTAGCCATAGATGAAGTAATCTATTGGGGTTCTGCGTAGGAGATGGCCTTATGAAACCAGTGGTTGACAAGGTACAGGCCCTAAGGGGAAATGCCCAATTCCCCCAGACAAAGAGGCAAGCGGGGTGTTTTCTCGGCCTGGCAGGCTGTTACCGAAGGTTTATCCCTGGTTTTGTCTCAGTCATGGGCCCCCCTTATGGAACTCATAACTCCAAGAGGATCCAATGGGATGAGAAATGCAAGGAAGCTTTTAGTGACTTGAAAGTATGACTATGCTCTTCAGCCCTGATTTTTCCCAGGACGCCTCGGACAGCGGATTCGGCGCCGTACTCTGACAAGACTTAGGAGGAGAACACCCACTTCTATATCTATTTCCTAGAGAAAAGGCTTCCTCAGCTATTGAAAAGGAGGCATTAGTGGGCTGTGGAGTCCCTCAGGTATTACCTGGTGGGTAGCACCTTCCCCGTGATCACAGATCACGCACCCCTGTGCTGGATCCACACCATGAAAGATGCAAACCTGCATATAATGCGATGGTACCTTGGGCTACAACCCTCTAGCTTCGGAGTCCAACACTGGGTGGGAAAGGACCATGCTGATTTCTTTTCACAGGAGATCGGGGATGGAGACAAGCTGTACCCAGAGCAGCCTTTCCAACTTGAGAGGTGAGGTATGTGAAGGGACATGCCCTCACTCTAGTGGAGAAGGGGCTAACGAGCTCTTCTGGGCCTGTTCAGCACTAACGAGGGGCACCTGTATGGCTTACTCTGCTTGGAATGTGTGTGTGTGTGGGGGAGGCTTATGAAGGGAAATCCTGCTACAGGAAGGGGCAGCAAACAGGAGGGGGGGCTGGGCTGCCACACTTCGGAGACTGCCGACCACAGAGACAGATCAGCCAAGAGGGAGTCAGTCGTAGGCCTCACGATCCCCGAAACCCCACGGACCAGCTGCAAGCAAGACACCCAAGAGAAGGGGCTGGACGTAGACCCTAATAAAAGACGATAGACCCGCCGATAGGCCAAGCCCAAAGAGCTGAATTCAGAGAGACTGCCTCAGAGCCAGACCATCTTGGCCTTTCTTTTTCTTTCATTCAGATTCCCCGCTCTCATAAGGGAGCGAGAGAGGAAAGGACCTTTCTTTTGTCTGTTTCTCTTAGAGAACCCCTCATCTGCTATGAACTGGGGGGAAGGACATTATAAACAACATGAAGCGGGGTCTGGAGGAGACTCCCTCTCCCAACCCCCCCACGTGACACTGTCATTACCTTTCCCCGACCTGAAGAAGCGCTCTGTGTCGCTCGAAAGCGCGTCTCTCTCACCCATAGGAGTTGGTCTAAGAAAACATATTACTTCATCTCCCTTGTCTCTCTGCTATCCTGGGACCAACCCAGCTTCAACAACGCTGTATGCTACGGGAGGCACATTTTTCCTGACCCCCTCGATGCTATGGGCCAGATTTTCAAATGAACTCAACTTCCAACAGTTCCCATTTAGGCACCTAACTCGAAATGGCTAAATATTCAACACGAGTCCCTGTCCAATGTCTTACTGAAGTTGGGGGGAGTTCTTCCATTGTCTCCAGTGGGCTTCGGATCAGTCCCCGGTGATGTTAGAGGATGCGCAGCATGATAAGGGTGGTGTTGGTGTTTCATTGGTGGACCCCGTTGCAGCCGTAAAGTACACAGCGTGGGAGAGGTTATTTGTAAAATGTTTGTCCTTTGCTGGGGTCATCACAATCTGGCCAGCGGAACCTTGAACTCTTACAGAAACAACTTGGGGCAGAGCCACAATTCTGTTTGTCAGTCGTGACCCAGCTCTGCTGTCCAGAGGAACACAGAAAAAGCGGAGGAGTGTGCTAGGGCTTGCATCAATAGACCTGCTGGAAATGTGTCCTTCAGAAAACCACACTAGGTCTATATCCGATCCTGTGGAGGCTCAATATAGTCACGCTCCAGCATCACTTGTATATTTAAAGAGAGCAGCCTTCAACACACATGCTGTCTGTCCAACTGTTTATTCCACTCATATCTCTAAGGG